AGTTGATAATGGAAGGTAGACCTTTTGTAAAACCTATTAGAGACTGATTCTAACTCTCTTATTACTCCATGCGCGAAATTCACAAATTTCTTGATATCCAGACCTTTTGTATATACTTAATTCATCAGGCGTAGCCTGTAACATACCAGCTCTTAACCCCTTGCTTTTAGCTTATACCATAGTAGCATAAAACACGGCTGAACCGTATCCCCTTCCCTTTCTTCTAGGGTAGTAGAAACATTATAAATTCCAGCAACATCTTTTACAAAGAGTCCAGAAGTATAAACTAGTCTACCATTTACCTAACCAATAAATACTACCATAGTACCGTGTCATTTCTAGCGCCTTAAGTTATATCTTGAATTTTACTATAAAACATTATACATGTTCATCTGTGGAATTGAATGTTGATGCCAAAACATCCCCAAAATCTAAAAAGTTTTGAGTGTTATTATATTGTATAATTTTTAAGTCTTTAAGATGTGGATATTTACCTAGATTTATTGAATTTAAATCACAATACATTCCCACATCAAACTCATCGTAGACAAATCCAGCCAATTCTAATCACCTTCAATATTTTCATCATGAGTAGAAGAAGGGCTTATCCACAAAACCATAGAGATCTTACGGCTTAAATAATACTCCATAACTTATTCAGCTGACTGCTAGATAATCATAGCTCTATAAGTAGTATTAAAGGTATCATAAGGTAATCCAGGATTTACAACAATTATATCTCCTATAGGGTCTACATACGTAACTTGTGATTACATCCATACTCCCCAATCGAATGTTACTCAAAAAAGCTCTGTAACTTCTGATTAACAACAATGACAAATGATCTGAAATCTACTCTGTAGCTGCATTCATAGTGATATTTTATTCCCTTGCGCAGTATCATCCTTTAATCGTTATTTTTCAGACAATCCAATGTCATACCTAAAAACCCCCCCTGGCCACTCTAAAAAGTTTAGGGCTGAATACACTTTACTTTTTGCTTCTTCTACTGTATTCCCCTCTGCAACTACATTCAATACTCTACCTCCATCTGAAATCCAATTACCATTTTCATCCAACTTAGTTCCAGCGTGAAACAGTGAAACATCAGGAATACTTTCAATCTTATCTAATCCTTTTATAATTTCTCCTTTCTTATAATCATTTGGATAACCTTCACTAGCTACTACTACACAAACTGTGGATTTGTTATCGAGTTCTACCATTTTAGTATTTAACTTTCCTTGCACAACTGATAACATCAACTTTAATAAGTCACAGTTAGGGTCAATTCTAGGCAATATTACTTGTGCTTCTGGATCACCTAACCTGATATTATACTCAAGAAGTTTTGGACCATCTTTAGTAATCATTAAACCAGCAAATAGTATTCCTCGATAAGGTGTGCCCATATTAACTAATGCTTGAATTGTGGGATATATTATTCTTTGAATAATTTTTTGCTCCATCTCTTTACTGATAATTGAAGGTGATGAATATGCTCCCATGCCACCTGTATTTGGTCCTTCATTATTTTCACGTACCCTTTTATAGTCTCTTGCAGAGCCAAGCATTGCTGTTGTTAAACCATCAACAAGAACAAAAAAACTAACTTCTTTCCCGGCTAAAAATTCTTCTATAATTATTTCTTCACCTGATTCGCCAAATTTTTTCTCCACTAGCATTGAGTTTATAGTAGAAAAAGCTTCATCCTCTGTGTCGCATATTATAACACCTTTTCCTGCCGCAAGTCCATTTGCCTTAATTACAAGTGGAAATTTTATTTTTCTACTCTTTACAAAGTTCTTAGCCGAATTTTCATCAACAAAATACTCATATTTAGCAGTTGGTATGCTGTATTGTTTACATAGTTCCTTAGTGAAAGATTTTGATGCTTCAAGCTTTGCGGCTGCTTTAGTTGGAGCAAAAACATTGATTCCTTCTGCGGTTAAGTCATCAGAAAGACCATTGATTATTGGCTGTTCTGGACCAACAACGACCAACTCTATATTCTCCCTCTTGCAAAATTGCGTTACATCCATTGAATTACTAGGATTTATATCTACTAAGGTAGCTAAATTTTCCGTAGCTTGACAACCAGGAGTCATATATAACTTGGTCAGCATAGGAGATTTATTTAAAGCACAAAGTATAGCATGCTCACGTCCTCCAGAGCCTATAATCAAAACCTTCATTTTTAACCTCTCTTATAACAACTTAAAATTTACTTAACGTAATGGAAGTCAAATACTAAATCGTACATAAAAATTGTCAAATACTTTGACATCTCATATATTTTTGCAATGCATCTGGCACTGCAATTGACCCGTCAGAATTTTGATAATTTTCCATTATAGCAATAATAGTTCTTCCTATAGCTAAAGCTGTACCATTCAAAGTATGGACATACTTCCTTGCTTTTCCATTAGAAGTTTTAGCATTCATTCTCCTTGCTTGAAATGCACCACAATTTGAACAACTTGATATTTCCCGATATCTATTTTGTCCAGGTAGCCATACTTCTATATCATAAGTTTTCTCTGCGGCAAAGCCCATATCACAACTGCATAGTAACATTACTCTATATGGCAATTCTAATTTCTTTAATACTTCTTCGGCAACATTCGTCATGAACTCAAGTTCATTATTCGATTGATCTTCATTCGTAATACTAACCAACTCAACTTTACCAAATTGATGCTGTCTCATTATACCTCTAGTATCTCGTCCAGCACTTCCCGCTTCTTTGCGAAAACATTCTGAATAGGCAGCAAACCTGATGGGCAGTGCATTTTTACTTACAAGCTTATCTGCAACTAAGTTAGTTAACACTACCTCGCTTGTAGGTATTAACCTTAACTCATCGGTAGTTAAGTATGAATCATGAGAAAATTTTGGTAATTGACCAACATTATACATAGCTTCATCTTTTGCCAAAATTGGATGATATACTTCAGTATAACCAAACTCATTAGTGTGCATATCAAGCATAAAACTTACTAATGCCCGTCCTAGCTGAGCTAATTTCCCTTTTAATATTGCAAATCTTGACCCAGCAATTTTTGCTGCTTTTTCAAAGTCCATCAAACCTAGTTTTTCTCCTAATTCATAATGAGATTTTGGTGTAAAGTTTAATTGCTTTTTCTCTCCATATCTTTTTAACTCTACGTTAAAGTTCTCATTTTCGCCGATTGGTACATCTTGCGTAGCAACATTTGGTAAATTAGATAAAATATCAAGCAACATACATTTTATTTTCCTTTCTTTTGAACTTACTGCTTCTATCTCATTTGCAATATCTTTTGATAATGCCACTTCTTGTTCACATGGACTTTTAGCTGTCTTAAGTTTTTTTATTTTTTCCGTAATTTCATTGCGTTGCCTATTCAAAGCCTGCAATTTAGTAGTTAGCAGTCTACTTTCTTGGTCAATTTTCAATATTTCAGTTATAGGAAACTCCCTTACCCCTCTGTTTTTCATTGCTTTATCAAATACTTCAGGGTTTTTACGTATATAATCTATATCATGCATAATTGCACTGACCAACCATTTTTATTACAATATAGCGTAAAAGTTCTCAATATTCAACATGATTTCAAAATAGTAACTATATATTGATATTTTAATTAATATATTCTATAATATATGTATATTATTTGGTAAGCCTAAAATGAGAGGTTACATAAAATCTAGCAACTTTAAAACAGGCGCAGAGCTTGGTGTATATATTTATATAGGAGTTACTATTGCAAGCTTATGCATCGCACCATTTGTTTTCATTTTTGCTCCTTATTTAATTCTACCATTCGCTTTACTAGTATCAAAACCCGTTGCTTGGATTGCACTTGGAGCTATTTTTATAGTAGCATCTGGATTAACTTTTAGCACTATAAAACCTTTATTAGATGCTGCAAAGGATTCTTTGAAGAGAAGAAAAATTCAAAAAAAAGGATTTGTAGGACTAGAAACATTAGATAGCAAGAGTTTTAAGGTTCCAACAAAGAGCAGTCTAAGTAGTTCTAAAATTTCTCTTGATACACAAAATAGCACAAGTTCATTGAGCGGCCTTAGTAGCTTTTCATCAGAAGTTGATCCTGAACAATATGATGCAACTTATGGGCAACAAGATTTAGTTAATCAAACACAAGCAGGTAATTATAATTACCTTTTACAGTATGCTGATGTAGGAGCTTTAGCACGTATTGTACAAGGCCTAGAACCACAAGCACATGAAATTGTTGGATCAACTGATCAAATAACAAAACAGCTAAATAGCTTTAAAAAAAACATAGAGAAAAATGAGGGAAGTAAAAGATTAATATTCATTGTCAATATACACAATGGTCACTGGGTAACGTTAGCTGTTAATCACGATGGCAAACAATTTAATGCCTATTATTATGATTCACTAAATGGCAAAAAGTTTAGATCAACGTTTACAAAGATACTAAAAAGGGAGTTAGGTATGAATGAAAGTAATATAAGGTTTTTTAATGAAAAAATTCAAGATGATGGTAGCAATTGTGGAATATTTGCTTTAGAGGCAGCGAGTAGAATCAACCAAATGCTGGACAAAGGTATATCTTTTGATGATATGGATACAGTATTATTGGAATTTAAACCAAAAGCTAAAGAACTTAGAAATCAACTTGCTGAAATATTAAGCGCTGACGAAGAAAGATCTGAGTTTACTGTTACAGATGTGTCTAAAAGCACAAATTCCCATGTTTGTCCAAATAATGTATCTTTATGTCATATAGTATAGTTAATAATCCTCATGATGAA